GCAAGATTTGGAGAAGACATTATTATTGGCAACATTGATTCTGGTATGATCTTGTATGATTAATCTAACTTCACATCGTATAAAATTTAATAAAAAGAAAAGCATATTAGAATTTTTCTGTATAAGTCAAACATCTTTATAATAATTTTGTTTGTCCTGATATTTTTTGGATTGTTATAGAGATATTCTGTTATAGAAAACATATAATATTATAATATAATATAAAAAATGGTTCGAACAAAAATTTGATAATTATAGTGAAATATTGTTATAGAGGATAAATCTTATAGAGTAATTTGATTGCCCAAATATATGCCTCAATTAGTGTATTTTAGTTGAATTATTTTGCAATAATTCAGTATATTTTAATTCATTTTCTAAAATTCTTTGTAATTAAATCAAATCCATCTTTTATGCTTCTTAAGCACATTTGTATAAATATTTTTTGCAATTTATTATAGTAAAATGAAGAGGGTAGTAATAAATTGCACGTGGTTCATTGACTTTATAGAGTAAAGATTCTTTTTTCTTTTTTAAATTACACAAATTGTAATATTTATCTATCACTTTTTGGGAAGCTTAGTGTGCGTCTACTTGACAATTCACTATATATTTAAATAAATAATTTTAAAAACTATATATTTAAATATTTTATGTATCAAGATCTCATTATTCTCCCAAGTTGGCCAATCCCATCAATGATGGGCCCACTTTTACATAGCTTTCACCAATGGATCAAATAATATGGAGAATTAGATTATTAAGAAATGACCGGTAGATAAGATGAGATGTTTTAGACATATGAAAAACAGAAGTGTAAATGCACTAGTGAGTAGGTGTGAGAGATTAGATGTAGGGGTACGAGGAGAGACAGAGGTAGATCAAATAAATATTAAGAAGATGTGATTAGACATGATATGACATAACTTCAGTTTAACGATGACATGATCTTAAATAAAAAGATATATGAAATTTGAAATGCTAATCTTAATTGATGATCATCCATTTCACTGATCGATGCTACGTCGCACAATCCATACATACTCAAAGTTAGGGTGTTTACCAGGTCAATAAGATATTTAGGTGTGCATTTTTTTAAAACTTCTCTCTTCTCTTTGAGAGTGCCCCATCTTTTCGCTCCCTTAATAACATAACTCACAATCTCAGACTTAAAAGTGAAGGATGCTTATTATCCGAACAATCCGTTCTTATTCATGTGATTGGAGGCAGGTGTTTGGCCAGAATCAGAAAGCTTTAGTGATGAAGGAATGGGACCAATTCCATCAAGGTGGAAAGGAACTTGCCAAACTGGCTCTGATCCCACATTTCGTTGCAATAGGTACTTTCTCTTTAATATTAAAGTAATGTTCAAAAGTTAGTTTGGTATATGAAAACGAGTCCGGAGCCAAAAAAACAAAAAAAATGAGGAAAATTTCCCAAAGGGCAACAAAAATCGAGTATGAAACTAAAAGGGCAACATTTGGATGGAGGGGCAGACGAAAAGTTGGTTTGGTAGATGAAAACTCACATCCAAGTTTAATACTTGAGTAGTATAATGAATTTAAATACTTTGAACGTTGCGAAAAGGAAAAGTTTGTCATATAAATTGGAACGAATGAAGTATGATATATACATGTAACATGTTTATGTTAGTGTAACATCAAGATGACTTTTGACATATGGAGTTTTCCTTTAAATATTGAAGGAAGTTAATTGGAGCAAGATACTTCATCAAAGGATTTGCTGCTGAAGCAGGAGCTCTAGTAACCTCCAAATTCTACACGCCACGAGACACGTTAGGGCACGGATCACACACGTTGTCTACAGCCGGAGGTAATTTTGTCGAGGGAGCTAACATTTTCGGGTATGGCAATGGCACAGCAAAGGGAGGATCACCAAAAGCACGAGTTGCGGCATATAAGGCTTGTTGGCCTCCTATTATTCCATCCGATTCGTGTACTGATGCAGATGTCTTGGCTGCATTTGATATGGCAATTCATGATGGCGTTGACGTGCTTTCAGTATCAATGGGAGGATTGCCTGTACCATATGCCCAAGACAGTATTGCTATCGGTTCGTTTCATGCTATTAAGCATGGTATTGTTGTGGTTACCTCAGGTGGGAATTCGGGTGCTTATCCTGGTACAATAGCCAACACTGCACCTTGGCTCATTACTGTCGGGGCAAGTACCATTGATCGCGAGTTCTCCAGCTATATCATCTTAGGAAACAATAAACGTTACAGAGTATGTTTCTCTTGTCCACTATTCTTTTTGTCTGCAAAACGATACAGTCAAACCTCTCTATAACAATCACCTTATATAACAACATTTCATCATAACCATCAACTTTTTATGTCATACTTTACTTCTCTATAACAATATTTTACCTGTAACAACAACGTCCATTCTTTGTAAAATTACTTCTCTATACCTCTTCGTGGAGAGTTAGGAAGCGTCAGTTCTCATTAGTTTTTGGATTTTTTGTTTTTTAGGGAGTAAGCCTTTCAAGTAAAGCTCTTCCCGAAGGCAAATCATTCCCAATTATTACTGGTGCATCTGCTAAAGTTGCCAATGCGACAGCTGAAGAAGCGTGAGTATTACCTCTCTTCCCTACTTCTTAATGTACCAACTAATCTAACTTTGCTAAACCATTTTATGTGGTTCTGCAGTAATTTTTGCATAGAGGGGACGTTGGATCCTAAGAAGGCGAAGGGGACTATTTTGGTTTGTCATAGAGGGGGTAGTCCAGCGTTTAATAAGTGCACTCAAGCTACTTCAGTAGGTGCAGTTGGTATCGTTATACTCAATAGCGCGTTCTTTGGAAATGAAATGTATGCTGAACCTTATCTCTGCCCTGCAACGCATATCAGTTACTCCGATGGACTTCAAGTCTCGTCTTATGTTAATTCAACAAGGTATAACAAAGAGTACGAAATCTAGCATTATGTCACAGTACAGCAAATTAAATGATTTAGTATACATAGCTATAACAAGAAGAATCCTCTGTATTCCCATTCTTTTTCTGTTTAATTTTCTTGTTAAACGTCGTTGTTGGTTTGAACAGGAAAGCTACAGCTTACATTACTCGGCCAACAACTGAATTGGGAACGAAACCAGCGCCAGTTATGGCTGCCTTTTCGTCCATTGGACCTAATAGGGTGACACCAGAGATTCTTAAGGTCTTTTACCATTTCGATATTGTTAATTTCAAGTCTATTAACCAAAATGATTTCAAAATTACAAGTATTTATACGATATTATCTTTGCAGCCAGATATTACTGCCCCGGGAGTGAGCATACTAGCTGCTTATACTGGAGTTCAAGGACCTACAGAAACAGATTTAGATAATCGTCGAGTTAAATTTAACACAATGACAGGAACTTCAATGTCATGTCCTCATGTGGCTGGTGTTGTTGGCCTTTTGAAGACCCTCCATCCAACTTGGAGTCCTGCAGCCATCAAATCCGCCATTATGACATCCGGTAAGACTTAGCCAAACTTTCAATTATGCATACGAATTTGCTTGCAACTTTTCTTGATCATATTAGGCTTCAAGAATAAGAACTAAATGAGTTATATGCAAACTTTTATATGATTATGATGCCTTGTTTACTCTTCTTCTGGTGCAGCAAGAACGCGAGACAACACGATTAATCCAATGACAAATTCAACTCACCTAAAGGCATCACCATTTGCTTATGGATCAGGACACATATGGCCAAACCGCGCCATGGACCCTGGCTTGGTTTATGACTTAACAATCAATGATTACATGAACTTCCTCTGTGCACAAGGGTACAAGGAAACTCAAATCAGTTTCTTCACACAAGGCCACTTCAAATGTCCTGACCCTATAAGTTTCAGCAATTTGAACTTACCTTCAATCACAGTGCCCAAGCTCAATGGCTCGATCGTTGTGACTAGAACATTGAAGAATGTAGGGTCCCCGGGCACTTACAAAGCTCATATTCGATCCCCGATTGGAATTACTGTTGTTGTTGAGCCAAACACATTGGAGTTCAAGAAGATTGGAGAGGAGAAAAGTTTCAAGATCACTCTGAAAGTTAAAGGACATAAAGCTCCAAAAGATTATGTATTTGGCCATTTAATATGGTCTGATAACAAGCACTATGTTAGAAGTCCCATTGTAGTGAAAGTTACTAAGAATGTTAGATAACATTCATTTCTATGTTTATTGTTACTTGTATAATGTGTAATGTAATACTATTCATTGCTCTCAAAAGTATTTGAATAATAGCAATCATCAAAGCTTTATATATCATGAGAATGCTTTGGTGAATGGTCCAATGTGCTAAGGAATGAAATAAAGTTAAATTTACCCCTAAACTACGTGAAATGAAATAAATTTTCGTTACGTTAATAATTGAGGTCAACTATGTTTTTGAGTCTCGACGTTACTAAAATAATCTATAGTTACCCTTATTTTCAAATGAACAAATTTATTATATTTTCTATAATTATGAGGCAAATTTGAGTTATGCCACCAACAATAAAGACATATATAGGATCAAATTTAATCAGAGGGAAAAATCATTCTATCTTTCATAATTGAAAACAAGTGCAAACAACATAAAATCCACTCATTTAGGACCTAATACGTGCCTTTTCGTGAATTTTTAAAATTACCTTTTTGTCAGATTTCAGTCCCTAGATACATGTATTTAGCGTGTCTAGATAGATGTATATCGAATACATGAGGTCAAAATTATGTATACTTTATTCCTGATAGACTATATCCAAATAGATTCACATGTATACGACTCTCTCGCTCACCTCTCTCCCTATGTATATGTATATCAGAAGGTATCTAGTATGCCATATGCATATATTTAGTGTGATTCGTATATTTGTGAGATACACACTTCTCGCTCCCGCTTGCTCCTCTCCTCTCTCTCCTATTTGTATTTGTATCTAATAGTAATTTCATAATTGAGAAAAGACACTCTTGGCCCTCTTTTCTACCTTGTTCCTTTTATCTTTCCAGTGATGTCTGGAGAAAAGAAAAGGAGAGGTTTTTGAATATTTACAGAACCAATCCCTCTCTCTCTCCTCTCCATCTTCTTCTGAAACTTTCTATTAAATTACCAGAAAATTCCTATATATTCAAGCAATCAAATTCTCCAGCTCATTTACGTGTTCTCTTTCAGATCTCATCAATCATGTCGTACGCTTATCTTTTCAAGTATATCATCATCGGAGATACAGGTAATTTTTCAATTGTGATTGATTTTATCGTTAATTTGATTTGTAAATCTAATGACTTCCTTTTTGCACCTGTTTATAATGTTCTCGTTTTGGTTTTTATGGATCTGGAATCATCGGGAAGGTTCTATTTCAATGGAGGTTGTTGTAATAATTATGCATATGATTGAACTTGTGCTATTATGAGAATTGTAGCATTCAATTGTTTTTTTTTTGAATTTTGTGTTATTTCTGTTGTATTTGATATATTAATGATGGTTCGGTGATATATCCATGGAGTTTGATAATCGAATTTTTTTTCCGATGAGAAGGATTTTGTTAGGCTAAATTTGATGATTTAGGTCATAAAAATACGGTTCGTTAAGTTTTTAGTAAATAAATTGGAGTTTCAGCAGTTAGAGAATGTTTGTATGATCCAATTCAGTTGGATTTGAAGTCTCTTTATTTTTCTTTTATATTCCACCAGCTGAAACAGCCAAACACTTTCTCTTAGAACTATACCAATGCTGCTCTTTTGACTTGTAAAATCTATGTATTTTCTGAAAGAGAAGCCCTTTGAAACATCGATAAAGTAAGTAATTTGATAAAGATAAAACAGTAGTTGGAAAATATTTCTGAGATGGATGTCTGCTATTTTGTGTATGGTGAAATGGTTGTTGATTAAAACTCTGAATGCTCGTAATAGTAAGCATATGATTTAAGAGATGAATTACATATGGCTTGTGGTGAGAATTGAGATGGTTACACATGTGTCTCACAAACATATCGTTATAGGAATCTACCCTCTTATTGGTTTAGGGGTACTCAAAACTTCGAAATCCTTGTGAGTTGTGATGAGGTTCTAAACTCTTGGTTGTTCCTTGTATATGCAATGACAAATTTGCTGAGTGATTCCTCATACGAGTGCACTTTGCCCTATCATTTTCGTATAGTTCATTGGCTTCCGATGGAATATTTCCAATGTTGATGTATACATTGCTGAAGCCTTATATAAAACATCATCTCTAACATTTTTGTTGCTCAGGAGTCGGAAAATCCTGTCTTCTCCTGCAATTTACGGACAAACGATTTCAACCGGTCCATGACTTGACCATTGGGGTTGAATTTGGGGCTAGAATGATCACAATAGACAACAAACCAATAAAACTACAGATCTGGGACACGGTTTGTTTCACATCTTTTCTTTCTTTTTCTGCTTCGATATATGCCAAATTTCTAAAAAAGATGCAATCATTAGTCTAAACTTTGCTGATCATCTTTTTTTTTCTTCATTTGGAACTTAAGATAATCTTTGTAAATGCCTTAAATTCTTTTCTAGGCAGCAGCATAATTTTCATACTGTTCTCGTTATTATTTGCTTGTGCTGTCATTAAATGGCTGGCAGCATGATTATAATGAATGATCTCCCGTTTCAGGCTGGCCAAGAATCATTCAGATCCATCACGAGGTCATACTACAGAGGTGCTGCCGGGGCACTACTTGTTTACGATATTACCAGGTATTATCCTGCATTATGTTTTTGACATTCTTTATGCATGAAACCGAAGTTAGTAAGCACAAACTTGCTCTCATTCTTACACAAGACATACTTCTTGTCTTAGCTTTTTACTTGGATCAAAGTTCTAGAAATATTCCTCACACAATCTTAATCACCCAGACATAATTATCTACATATCAAACTTTCGGCTGCATCTGTAGTATACACTGTGATCTTCAATTTAACTAATTGTAGAACATTACATTGTGCTCTTGTAAAATGTTATCTAATGCCATTTGTCTTTTACTGTTAGAGAGGAACTAAAGAAGTTTCTTTAATGCTAGTGAGCACTCTGTTATTTTGGTTCATAAATCTCTCTCTTGACATAAATGAACAAATATATGGTCTTCCGAATTTAGTTTGATAAGGGATCCATGAATTCAAATGTGGACAATAATATATTGCTGTATCGTTGTGCTTGTGTCTTGTGGTGCATTGATGGTTTTTCCACCCCCAAACTGAGCTTCAAATGGAAATAAGGTCTTACATATTTTTGTTGCTGCCTTTTGCTTTCATAATGGATAAATAGCAAATATTATAGGAATTTATGATTTCTGTGGTCACTCTAACTACATTTCCCTGGATAGTTGTGTTAGTGAAGAACTGATGATTTTCTTTCCTCCGGAAATTATAGGAGGGAAACATTTAATCACCTTGCTAGTTGGCTGGAAGATGCAAGGCAGCATGCAAATGCAAACATGAGTATAATGCTGATTGGAAACAAGTGTGATCTTGCTCACAGAAGAGCTGTAAGCACAGAGGAAGGCGAACAGTTTGCCAAGGAAAATGGGTTGATATTTATGGAGGCCTCTGCTAAAACAGCTCAGAACGTTGAGGAGGTAAAAAATCATTTAACGTACTAGTACAGCTTTTATATTATACAATGGATGTCTCAAAGTAATTCATTGTACCTCTTCAGGCTTTTATCAAAACAGCTTCCACGATCTATAAGAAAATACAGGATGGAGTGTTTGATGTATCAAACGAGGTATACCTTATCCTGACTATTTATGTATATTCTACTCCCTCCGTCCCATTTTATGTGGCACCATTTCCTTTTTGGTCAGTCCCAAAAAGAATGTCACATTTTCTTATATGGTAAGTATTTAAAGGTACAATTCCTCTTTTACCCTTGTTGGTTCCACTTAATCTTAAAGAAAGTATTCCAATACATTTATGAGGAGAGAGAAAAATGAGTCTACTTTTTAATATGACTATTTTTTGAAGGGACAATTTGGTAAACATTTCAAAGTCTTCATTTATTTCTTAAACTCCGTGCCCGGTCAAATGTTGCCACATAAAATGGGACGGAGGGAGTACTTAATTTGTTTCGGTGTGGACTGCAAATGTTGTTACTTGTTAGAGAAGACTTAACTTCTGCCAGAATCTAATATATGAAAAGAAACGATGTAAGAAAATTAGGGAAAAGTAGAGAAGAAATAGGATCAGCATACCTTGAAATAGTGATTGTGTTATGTTTCCTTCTGATCCTATCACAACATACTTATCGAGGTAGTCCAATATTTCCAAACGTATTGCCTAGTCCAATGTCTTCTCCTTTTTCTTTCCTTCTGCCCAACATAAATGCTGCTATTGCTTCTGGGATCTGTTTATGACCCCTAAGATAACTTTTATGTGGGGAGTTGAGACCAGAGGAAAATTAAAGTACCAGGTGGAATAGTCGAGGTACAGGAGAGCTGTCTCGGACACCACTGTTATTAGAATACTTGAGACTAGATGGAAATGTGGGGCCTAATTGAGAAAGCAGATTCCAGCGTATATTAATTATTATAACATGCTATTTCAAGGAGGCAAAGTTGAGTTATTTTGAAGTGATATATACAGATTTGAAAGACAAACCAACCTCTCAATCCACATTCCTTCTGTTTGACGAAATTTTAATTAATCAGATGGACCAACAGTAGAGCATATCTTTATATATGGTCTCCGTTTGCTGATGACAAAACCATTGCAAGTAACTTAAATACCTGATTATTGTCTAGTGAAAGAAGAAACGAAGTTGCCAAAAAGCTAAATGCTTGGTTTCATCAATGGTGTATCTATTCCTTCATCTAAATAGTTGAATTTCTCTTATTACTCTTTGCAGTCATATGGAATAAAAGTTGGGTATGGAGGGATTCCTGGGCCATCAGGCGGACGAGATGGAGCTGCTTCTCAAGGAGGAGCTTGTTGCAGTTGAAACTGGAAACTTTATTCTTTAAATTTGATCATAGCCAGTGGTGTTATTATTTATTTATTTATGCTCTTCTAGCATGTTTACCTTCATTGGTGTAACCAATTTGTTTGTGCTTATGTTAATATATATATCTGGGCAAATATAAACAACTTTACCTTTTGAAATGTTATTTTGTAAATATATGTGTGCAAAAGTACTACGGTATATGATCACATACATATTAAATGGGAACAAAAATATCGATATCATTTAGGATTAGTAACATTGTGGTTATAAAAATAATAATTCATAGATGAGTGATTTTATAGATGAAATATTTATCGCATTTTTTATTTTTATTTCTTTTCCCATTTCAGTTCTCTCACCTGTGTATTTTGTTACCTTCCTACATGCGTGGTCCAGCGTCCACGTTATCTACTAATACTTTTAAAGTTTTTCATATCCCTTAACAAAGAAATATAATAATTCTAGTTATAAATATATTTAAATATTATTTGTATTAATTTTTTAAAGGTCCATAAAAAATGGAGTTATTGAGAAGTTTATATTGCCAAGATGAACGTTTTTTATGTGTATGTCACGTTATCTCGTTCTTGCTGCATTGAAGATTTCCGAGCTACTACTTCACCCATGTATTAGGAATGTATTAAATTTTCTTTTCAAATTTTAACCTTTTACTTTAACAACAATAAAATTTTATTTGATATTTTAGAATTTTGAATCAAATTACCTAAATCTCATTGTCTATCAATAAGATTTTTTAGACTAATAGCCAAGATATTTTATTGCAATAATTGGCTAACATATTTTATCAACTTGTAAAATTAATTTTATTTATAATAGAGTAGTATTTTTCTAGAGGTTATAAGATTTTTTTTGCAAAAAAATTAAATTAATTATAATTTGAGATAATGAAATAAAAACTTGATAATATGCCAAAGAAAATTTTATATTCCTATATCACTATACAATAAATTGTAAAATTGTATAATAAAATGACTTGAAAATAATATTTAACTACCTATAATAAATAATTTTTCATTATCATAAATAAAAAGTCTCAATACCTAGAGTTTAGTTTGAATTGTTCAGATAAGAGACCAAATCAGATCAAGTTTTTATGTCTTTTAAAAAATCTTTTAAAGTTTTAGTTTTAGGTTAATGATTATATTATAATGACTTGTTATTGAGTAGAACTTATCCTTTTCATATTTCACAGTAGAGACAGTGGTGTAACAATGGCGGCATCTATAGGAACATTGAAACCTTTTCAGCATTCTATAATCGATAATGTTGATAGTGCAATGTCCTTTCAAAGTCTCTCTTTTGCATCATCACATTTATCCAGCGGCAAATTGATCTCACCTAAATCATTGCGTTCTAGACGATTCATTTCTAATAAGAACGCCTATCATAGCAGGGCTGCGATTATTGTGTCGCCTAAAGCTGTTTCTGACTCGTCAAATTCACAAACATGTCTTGATCCAGAAGCTAGCCGAGTTAGTGCATTCTCACTTGTTTTGCAAATTATATATTTAAATTGAATCAGCATTCAATATATTTTGAAAATTTTGATTATACAAATTAGCATATAAAAGTGTATGGTTTGTGTAAACTTTTCTTTTTGTATACATGTCTGTCCGTCTCAATTTATGTGACAATGTTTGTTAGGCATAATATTTAAGAAAGAAAAAGTTTTGAAATTTGTGGTCTAAAATAAACTTGGCACATTTGTATGAATATAAATCATTTGATGCAGGTTAACGGAGAATTTTAAAATAACTTTTTTCTAATCATAGGTGACATTCCTTTTTAAGACATACTAAAAAAGGAAAATGGATCAGGGACGGGAAGAGTATTTTTTTTAACTGATTGATTGTTAAATTGAGCGGCCGTTTGATTCTGGTGGTCCAATCGATATATATGGTGTTTGTTTGCTTCAGTTTGAAGTTATTTAATTACTCTGTTCATGATTCCAGATCTTGATATAGACCCTCACGTACATATTGATAAATGTATAATTATATAACTTGATTTTGTTTAATATAACACAGAATTGTTTCTTAACGAAAGTTTTCTGGTTAATCATGCTTTACTGAATAGAGTAACTAACTAAATATATTGTTAATGCAATTTGTTGCAGAGTGTTTTGGGTATTATTCTTGGAGGTGGAGCTGGGACGCGTCTGTATCCTCTAACCAAAAAGAGAGCAAAGCCGGCTGTTCCGCTTGGAGCAAATTATCGTCTGATTGATATTCCTGTGAGCAATTGTATTAACAGTACCATATCCAAGATCTATGTTCTCACACAATTCAACTCTGCATCTCTAAATCGCCATCTTTCACGAGCTTATGCAAGTAACATGGGTAGTTACAAAAATGAAGGTTTTGTGGAAGTTCTCGCTGCTCAGCAAAGTCCAGAAAACCCTGATTGGTTTCAGGTACCTAACCTTCTTCCTAATGTACACTTTTTAACAACATTAAATTTGTAGTTATTTGATTTGAAAATGAGCCTTGGAGTAACGGCAAAGTTATCTTTGGCTTTGAGCTGTGTAAGTAGCCACTAATGCTTGAATTGGGGTAGGTTGTCTACATCACACACCCTTTGGAGTGCGGCCTGTCCTGGACCCTGCTAATGCGGGATGCTTTGTACATCAGACTGTCCTTTTTAAAAATATTATAACCTAGAGATAGATATCAATCCGACAAGTATTTAGCATGTTTGAAGCCACTTTAACGTTACTGTTTGTGCTCGACTCCTCTGATTTACTTGTGACATGCGTTTTAGTATAGCTGTTTAACTAGTTTTTTTCGCAAACTAGTGTAAGATGAAATTACTTGTCTCTCAGGGCACTGCTGATGCGGTCAGACAGTATTTATGGTTGTTTGAGGAGCATAATGTTTTGGAATTTCTAATACTTGCGGGAGATCATCTGTACAGAATGGATTATGAAAAGTTCATTCTAGCCCATAGAGAAGCAGATGCTGATATTACTGTTGCTGCACTTCCGATGGATGAAAAGCGTGCCTCTTCATTTGGTCTAATGAAGATTGATGAAGAAGGACGCATCATTGAATTCGCAGAAAAACCAAATGGAGAGCAGTTGAAAGAAATGCAGGTACATGCTATAATAGTGATTTTGCATATTTCTCAACAAATACTCATAGCATATATGAACAAAGACACATATTTCGTTTCTTGGAAGAATATAATTTGTGTTTGGTGCATTTTAGGTGGATACTACTATTTTAGGCCTTGATGACGAAAGAGCTAAAGAGAACCCTTATATTGCAAGTATGGGTATATATGTCATTAGCAAAGATGTGATGTTAAACCTACTTCGGCAAAGCTTTCCTGCAGCTAATGACTTTGGCAGTGAAGTTATTCCTGGTGCAACTTCCATTGGAATGCGAGTATGTAAATTCTTTATTCATTACCATTTATAGTTCTAAAATCACAAAAAACTATTAGAAATTTACTTTTTCTCTTATGAGAATTGTATGAAACTTTACTTCGACATTACTCTAGTAATTATAATTGTTGCTATACTCGTGTCGGACTCTCCAAAATGTACTATTTTTGGAGTATCTGGCATGCATCCATCTATATTTTTAAAGAGTATGAGCAGCATAGGTTATAGGCCTTATTGTGACTAGCTTCTAGTTTAAACTTTTTTCTGCTGAATATGATTTTTGCTTAGTTTTACTTGTAGAAAGTCTTAATAGTCTAAGTTCAGGTGCAAGCTTATTTATTTGATGACTACTGGGAGGATATTGGTACCATTGAAGCTTTCTACAATGCTAATTTGGGCATTACAAAAAAGCCAGTGCCAGATTTTAGGTAACGTCAGCTAATACTTCTCTCCACTTAGTTACGATTGTCTATTGTTCTACTCTGGTCGTAAGCACTAATATTGTTATCTTCAATATTCTCTGAAGTTTCTATGACCGTTCAGCTCCAATCTACACCCAACCTCGATATTTGCCTCCTTCAAAGATGCTTGATACTGATATAACAGATAGCGTCATTGGTGAAGGTTGTGTCATCAAGGTAATTAATTACGTAACTATTTCTCACCAACAAGGTCTTCCATATTCTTAGTATTGGTGAACCAGTACATACTTGTCAGATTACGGTTCTCATGGAGTTACTTTGTTGTGTACAGAACTGTAAAATTCACCATTCTGTGATTGGACTCAGATCATGCATTTCAGCAGGAACAATTATCGAAGACACTCTTTTGATGGGAGCAGATTATTATGAGGTAATAGTTAAAATTCACAAACTATATGACTAATAGACTTACTTTGTATATACGCGAGATAGATAGCATGTAGAAAATTAAAAAAAAACGAAAGATATTTTCTTCATACTACTTTTGGTTTGTTGTTAAACTCAATTTGCTTCCTTTCTTGATCCAGACGAATGATGACAAAATGCTTCTGTATGCAAAGGGTAGTGTTCCAATTGGCATCGGCAAGAACTGCCACATAAAGAGAGCTATTATTGACAAGAATGCTCGTATAGGGGACAATGTGAAGGTTGGTTTACCTGATCAATAATTCTTATTACCACTCAAGTTTTATTATGTTTGATGAAAATCTCATTCACCTAACTTCTAGGTAACATATTTATATATATATATATATATATTGTCCTGCTGACTTCTCTTGTCATCACATAAATTTTTCGAACCAAGCTGTGAGATCAAGTCTCTAACATGGAACTTTTGTATCATCAGATCATCAATATTGACAATATTCAAGAAGTAGCAAGGGAGGCAGACGGATACTTTATTAAGAGCGGAATTGTTACCGTTATCAAGGATGCAGTAATTCCCAGTGGTACTATCATCTAAGATGGTGAAACTTGGATTCCTTTAGTTTTTATTTATTTTGCCAAACAACCATGAGTTAAAAGGATTTCTGCACTCCTTCAAGTGAGTGATCGTCAATGAACCAAAAAAATTGTTTTGTGTTCTTGAAAGTTGAATATAATTAGGATGTTAACTCGAAAAAAATATGAATTACTCCATTTTATTTTCTCTGTTCGTTCGTGTTAGTGTAGTATTCGTTTCCCTCTATCATTATCCATATACATATAATAAGACGGAGAGAGGGATTTTTCTATTATCAGAATTTGAACTCGAGATCTCTAATCCTAG